TTTTTAGCAAGTGGATGCCACTCCTGCTTCCAAACCTGTAATAGTATGTTATTGTTGTTATGTGCCATTGAGTCACCTGCAATGTGCAGCAACCCTATGTACAGCAGCTCTGAACCTTTCCCTGTTCTGAGCCAGTCTCACTAATTCTGACACATCAATCCCTATTGCCCCAGTTACTGTATCAATCCATCTCATCCGGGGTCTTCCTCTCCTGTGCTGTCCTTCCACCGTTCTGAGCATGATGTCCTTTTCCAAGGATCAATCTCTCTTGGCCACGTGCCCAAAGTATGGACCAATCTCTCTTGGCCACGTGCCCAAAGAAAGTGAGGCAGAGCTTCAAAATTCTAGCCTCCAAGGAGAGACTTGGTCTCTCCCTCTCCAATTTCTTTTTTTTCAACTCAGCTCACTCTTCCAGGAGATTAGATACAAGGTTCCCACTGGTTATATCATATCAACTTTGCTCTATAATAGCTCCTGCAACATTTCTCAGGAAGCAGTATCTTCAGACACCTAGTTATCTACATAGAAAATTTGAATTATTAACTCATCATTCTCTAGTAATTTACACATAACCATGTGCCAATGATTCTACCTCAATTTTAAATTCTTTCATAAAGTCTATCTTTGAGCTGATGATCATTTTATCTTTTTTGGACCATTATAAAACTTCCTAAAGAGCCTCTTTCTATCACACATTCAAATATTCTCTTTCACATATTATAACACTAGGAAGAAAACAAACTCTGTCTCACTCTACTGTGGAAAAGCCTTATCCACAGACTTAACACATTACAGAATCGAGTTCAAACTGCACAGGTTGGTTCAGTAGGCCTCCTGCCCCATTATGGTTCTTATGATTCATCTGCATTTTATCACTCTGTTGTTTCTCGGGTATTCAATGCAACAGCCAGACCAAATGCATTAAGCATTTCCTAAATCAGGCCGACTATTACTTGCCTTCATGCCATTTCATGGATGTTGTCTTTGTTTGGAATATTATTTCATTTTCTATGCCTAATACATTCTCATTCATACTTCAGATATTTTTTTCATTTTACTTTTCAGATCTTCTTTAATGCCTTATGACAAATATTAGACCATCAGTCTTTTGCAGGCCATAACATTTGATTTGTGTGAAGTGTCTTACATTACGTAGCCACCAGATTCCCTTTTCCCCAGCCTGCTGTGAGCTATTTAAGACCAGTAGTCTTAGGAGTAGTACAGTGATATTTGTGGTCTTAATAATTAAAATTTTATTTGCACATTTTAATAAATAACTATACAAGAGAAAATCAAAGATCATGCTTACTCTGTTAACCATAAAGGTTTTTAACAAAATATTTGCAAGAGACGGTGAGTGTGAGAGGTTGGATGGACAGGAAGCAAAATTAATTTTATTCCTTTTTTACCAACCCTCTTAAAAATTAATATGGAAAAGACATTATCTTTACAAATAACTAAGATATTGTTGATCATGTTATAGTCATGGATCTAGGGGCACAAGGGTTCTCCCGCTAGAAAGCAAGAAAATGAATCAGCTATTTAGAGGAGACTTTACTTGTTTCTACTCTTTCAAAATCCTCTCCTGCACATAATTCAAGTGCTTAATATAGAGAAATGTATACACCTATTCTTCACTTATCAACTGTACCATTATCTGACATTTTCTTTGTACAACAATAGCAAAAAATATATGTATTTTCTGATGATTTTGTGCATATACAAGGTTTTAGGCAAGACAATGCTGGCTCTAATAGTAACAGTTACGAGACAATTTGGTTGGGTTACTATTCTCAGTAGGTTTTTTAGTTAGAATGATGTTATGAAAATTATATAATGATCTAACTTGACAATTATGGAAAAATGACAATGTCATCCTTCATCCTATGATCTGAAATGCTCATCTTCCATTTTCAAACACCACTGATTTTCACATAAAAATTTGTCTTTGGGACCTAATTATACTGATAAGGGAATAGCAATTTAACATATTTTCCTCTGACACTGGTTATAGGATCAAATATTTTTGTTATGTCTTGTTGAGTGAACTACAACTTAACAGTGACCCTACGAACAATGGCTCTAAACCTTGCCCTATCACCTGTAGGTGAACCAACCTCACCCTCTCTGACACACCTAACCCCACTGCCAGGGTCACTGTGTTATTCATGTTATCACAGTCTTCCTCTCCTATGCTGACTTTACACTTATCCAAGTATGATATCCTTCTCTAAGGACTGGTCCCTTTTAGCCATATGTCCAAAATATGTGAGATGGAGTTTCAAAATCCTTGCCTCCAATGAGCAAATTGATGTCATCATATTTGATAGATTCAAGTAAGTAGTTTTAATTCACATGAGAATTTTAAATACAACCATATTTTTACCCCAAACTTCTTAAGAGTTTTCCTTTTTCAAATATGGGAAACTCAATTTAGAAATTTCCTTGCTTAAAAGTGATATTCCCCTTCTTCAACTTCCATTTCTTTTTCTTCTCATGCTATAAAGTGAAACCAACAATATCTAATTCCTTTTTCAAATGCATATAAGCATATGTTGTTGTTGATTGCTGTTGAGTCAAGCATGACTCATGGCAACCCTATGAACAAAAGACCTGAAGCCTTTCTGTAACTATTGCCATTTCTCAAAATTCATCTTTTCCAGAATCATGCTGTTTAGGAAGTAGATGCCACTCCTGCTTCCAAATAAATTGAAGGCATTAATAATCCTTTAAAAACATGATTTGTTTAATTTTTCACCCTAAACTTAATTTTATTAAGCGGGCTCTGTTGGCTTAGTGGCAAGAACCTGCGCTGCAATTCCTAATGCACATGGTTTGAATCCACCAGCTGCTCTGCAAATAGAGGATGAGCAATCTCCTCCCTTGTGATTAATGGCCTCTGAAGACCCACTAAAAGATTAGCTATAGGTTGGTTCCAATTCCACTGCATTCAACAACAACAATTTTATTAAGGTCCCTGGGCAATCCTCACGCAACATGACTTCTAGTCCTCACCAGCATGGTTTTTCTACTCCAGTTAACATCCAGCCACATATGTTTCTCTTAATGTTTGGTTCTGAAATGGGGTGGGACAAATTCAGAGACAAGTCGATCTTAGCAGGTTCATTTGAGGTTCTCTTTACTATCAACACATGCTAACATATTGACTTGCTATTTAGGAATGGCATTCTACTACAGTTTTATATGGAGTTTATGTTTTAAGTTCAATTTAAACTCCTATTATTTGTTAGCTCGGAATTCTCCAACTACTGAAAAGTATCTTCTTCAATCTATGAGAGTTTGGGACCAAGTAAAAGAAATACAGAAAGAATTCAAATAATAACAGTATATGGCTCTTCTTTGAAGTCTTTCTTTCTTGACTACTTCTCATGCACAGATTGCTTCTGAATAGAAAATCGAAGTGATCCTGAATCACATCAGAATATAACAATAAATATGTTCATACAAAATATAAAAAGGAGGTTCTGAGAAAAACATGCATGGGGAGAAATGGGATTAAATTTTCAAGGTCTGGAAAGAAATATGACCCTTCTGTATTCTTGAATTTAATTTTAGGCTATTGTAAAAAAATTCAGAAAATATATGTTTATGAAAGAACATTATCTCTTAAGCTCTATTTCAGGAAAAATCACTTCCATGGAATACTAGCAGATATTAGCGAAGAAAAGAGAAACAGGAGATGAAATAAATTATCAGGCTTCCTTACTGTATAATCTCCAGGATTTTAAACTTGCAAATGTGATTTGTGACATCTTAAGCCTGACAGATAATAAAAATATTCTTAGAAATTTCTAAAAAACAAAACATAGTTATTTTACTTCATTCTATAGATTCTGATTCAGTAGAGTCAGAAATGTACCTCTTGAGTGTATGTCTCAAAACCTAAACACTTATTCTGAGAAATATAAGACTTTATGGAAACCCCTGAAATTTGACCATGATTTTATTTCAACGGAAAAAAAAAATCTATTTCCTAGGATACACACTTTAGGTAACACTATGCTACACTCAGTATTACTTTGTCTAGAAAACAAATACATCATAGAGTCATTTTAGAACCTTGAATGAGCTAGAATCTAGAGTTTCTTTTTATCCCTAGGTTTATCTAAGAAAAACATAACTGTATTTTCGAAATGCAATAAGCTTTCTAAATAGTCCAGTCATTTTCTATTCTTTATAAATGCTCATGTAAGAAAATGTGTAATATGTATCCTAGTTAAAAGACAGTTTGGCCGGAAAAGTGTTTATCTTGGAAGCAGGAATAATGTACAATAATTAACCATAAATAAGGGATATGTATTGGGAAAGTCTTAAGGAAAATAAATTTCAGTAAACAAGATGCCATGTTTGAGATGAATCGTCACTGGTCATAAAATATTGCCATTTCATCCTAATAAGCTGAATGTTAATTTGTCATGAAATTCACTAATAAAATTAATTATCATTATTTGTCTCCTTTAACTTAAAACTATACTTTAAAATCTCACTTTGAAAAAAAATCTTAACATTTGAGAACACAAACATTATAATTGGAAGCACTTAAGAATACAAACTCAAGAAAAAAACAACTGAAATGACAACACATAAAAGTATTATGACTTTCACAACATAACTTTGTTCTTCTGAAAATAATATATAGCTCTAAAAGACACATATATCCACTTACAAACACAGTGCACACACAATCATTCTGGGAACAGCCAGCTACTATATACATTGCGCATCAACTAAATAGTGCAATTCATCTAAATTATTATAGCACAAATAATACTTGCCCTCCCTTTCTCATTAATATGCCTCTCAAAGGATGGCTTTCTAAAAAGGAAAAAAACACAAAACAAATTCATAAGAATTTCATAAATATAGTATGAAATGAAAATGCATAACTGAAATGAAAACTTTTTTTAAAGAAAAACCAAAATATATAGACTTTTCTTGGCAAAATATAAGCAACTTTTTAAATTTTTTTTCAAAAGTACCTGTAAAATGTGACTTCCCAAATGTGCTTCAAATACTTCAATGGCTAGTGCACTGGGACTTCTCCTTCGTTGTGCACCTATAACTTAAAATAAAAAAAAAGGAAAAAGGAAAGAAGGAGGGAAGAGAGAAAGGGAAAATCAAGAAAAAGACAAATTAAGTTTGAGCTCAGAGTTCTTATTTTCAGCTTAACTTATCTCTAATTACATTATCAATTATGATAACAATAAGATTTGAGAGAAATACCATCCAATGTTAATTTGATTCTGAGTTGCCTGAGCATTAGTAGAACCTAACTTTGAATAAACTTTTAGAAACATTTGTGAAACCATAAGCATCCTGTTTTAAAATTTTAACTTTGAATGTTTTTCCTTTACTAAATCAAACCATATACACAAATGTCAAAATTTCTTTAAAAATTAACTATGTTTCTTAAAATTCAGATATTGGCATTTTAAAGCATTGCACACACAGGTACAATGCAGAGAAACCGGAATATTCCATATCTTTTAGGGTATTAGAAATAAAAAAAGAAGTGTGTGTTTGTTACTGGGGGGAGGAGAGTGGTGCTGCTTTTTTTAATGCTGTAGCTTTTGTACTGCTTAATAAAACACAGCATTCTAAGTATTATCAAATTGCATAACAAAAGTTTCATAAATAATGGTTTACCCCAGAATATATATATATATACACATATATATATATAAATAATCAGATTATATTTTTAATGAATATCATGTCTAGCTATTCCTATAAATCTTATAAGAAGTATAGTCAGTCCCTAGCCACATGCCCCAAAACTAGTGGACAACTGTTCCTTACCTGAGGAGTACATGAATATTCCTGTGTTCTTAATCAGCCTTTTCTTTCCATAGTTCCATGCTTTGGCTCTTGATCCCTTCCAACCAATAAACCCAAAGCATGATGCATATGGAATGAAAAACTGAGTGTTTTTTCTTTACAGATTTTGTGCAAACAGTTGTAATCTGTTTTAAAATCTATTTTCTGAGTAATTTTTCTTTCAACTCTTTTTTTATAAATCCCAAGATGATGAATATTGGTTTTATTATAGTAACTTAGGAAAGAAAATGTTTAGATATTTCCTATATTTTTAAAAGATTATTTTATATTGGTTTGCTTACAAAGTTCGTATACATTGTGTTTCACATTACTCTTCACTCACACTTTGTTTCATATAATTTTAACACATAAACTCCCCAAATTTCCTTGCTATTCTTAAACATTTTATTTCAAACTTACACATTCTTCAAACTCAGACATTTCAAAATAAAAAAGTAAATAAATGTCTAATTTTCTTTCTTTCTTTCAGCCACTTGAAAGAACATTTCAGCTAAATGCTGCTAGGATAACTGTTTCATTCCAGTTACTGAGTTAGTCAGTTGAATCCATAACTTAGTCGGGATTATAATATAAATGCACTTATGGTTATTGCACCATGCAAAAGTAGGACATTTGCCCCTGCAATTGTGAGTTAGTGTCTGCAGTGTCTGAAAGGCACTTTGAAAATAGCATGAGTGTTAAGTATCATTATTACTGGTAAGAGAAAGTAAAAGGAGAATGTTTTTCAATGGAAAAATTTATGAAGTATAATTGAAGAGTGGTTATTATCAAAGGAAATTCAGCTGGAAGGAGTCTTTGAGAGCTCTACTTCAATCTTTTTATTTGTTTCAGAAGCAAAGCACACAACTGATAATTTTAAAATAGAAAAATTCATTTTTATGTCTTAAGATTAATCTTTAATATAACAAATCTCATATATAAGAGCATAAATTTTAAGTTTAATATTCAGATATAATTAAGACAGTGTGCATGTGTGTATTTCTGATTAATTTCCTATTCTAACATGCACATTACTCCCTTCAAAACTCCTTTGGCAATTTTGATAATGCAGCTGTCTTGCTGAATACTGTTTTCAGTTTCTAGAGTGTTAATTGCACATTATGGTAGCTTGGTGCGAATGATCCCACATGAATAAAATCTGCAGTACTTTTTTTTAAAGTTGTGGGATGGGGGATTTTGAGGAGGGAGAAGGGGAAAGTTGAAAACTTAAGTGTCCGCTATGTTGGTAACAGTAGTTAAAATTCAGTGAGCTCCTTATTAATAGCTCATAATTTGGGAGTAATTTGCTTTTAGATATCAACCCACAAAATTCAAAATAAAACATTGCATCTGATAAAATAAAAATTAACATAAATCATTCTAGAAAGGTCTGTTTTATTGGGAGGGTGGATAGGAGAGTAATGGCTACCAATAAAGAAAAGGAGGAAAAAACACACCCCAAAACCAAAAAACCCACCACCACTTAACTCATTGTCATCTAGTGAGAACCAACTATAGGTTGACCCTATGAGGTCCAGGTTTGTGGAGAATGAAAATTGCACAGGAATCTTTCCACCTTTTTCCACAGAGTCAGTGGTGAATTCAAACCATCAGAGAATCACTGCCTTTGGATTAGAAGCTCAACTTGTTACAGACTACACTGCCACAGCTCCTTCGTGATATGGGGCAAAAGGGTCTAAATCACCAAGGAAATGTAAGCAGAAACCCCGAGCCCAAGAGCATCAAGTTAATGGATTCTGAATAACAGTGACCCTATAGGAAAAGTAAAGAGTGTTTCTTTACTAAAAGGTTTAAGACACATGCTCCAGCAACAACAGATGGTAGCTCAACTGCCTTCTAGAAGTATTGAAACATTTGACTTTACTAAGGTTCAGTTGGGTCTACAAGTCTGGTTACCAATGAATGGTATTTCTGTTCCAGCCTTTCAGTCTTTGAGCTGGCTTGTCTAAAAAATGTTACAAATAAACAAATAAATAGTTATTTAAAGAACTGATTATCCTATGTATGAGTTCCTCATGTCTTCATGAGAACCTTCATCCTATGTGTATAGCTATGCTTCTTTGTTCTTCAAATCCTCTAGAAACCAGAGTGTGCATCCCAGTGTATGTTAGCATAATACACAAATAACTCTTAAGTAGTTTCATGCTCCTCTATTCAACGGCATTTTTATGGCACTGGAACTTTTATTGATTTATGTGTTTTGCACTTAGGCAGGTGATGTGGGGCTGTAATGACAGTTTCTAATTTTACAACCAACATAAATATGTTAAACAGGAGCCCTTTATAGCCCTGGTAGTAGCCCAGCTCTATCACTGGCATTAATGGCAACTGAATAGATGTTAAATATATACTTCTTATCTTATACTTTTTATCATGTAATATTTGGCATTTTAAGAACTGAGACAAGAATCAGAAAGCTCAAGAATAATGCAAATGCAGTCATTTTGCAGCTTCATATTAATCTCATTGAGTTTACAGAATATCATTGATGTCTAAAGAAAAAAATTAATGAACATTTCCACAATAGGTAATATACTGCACGAGAAACTCTGATTTTCGTATTTTAGAACTTGACAGTTTTCTAAAGCCATTTGACAGTGAACATACGAAATGCATTATTGTTGAATTGGTTATTCTTTTTATTTCATTAGATCTACTGACATATTAGGATTTTTTTTCAGTTAAAGAAATTAGTTTTTTAAAATGAAGATGACTTGTTAAGTTAACCAAACATTACATAAGGCCTTGGTAAGTACATGAAAGATGAAAGTTGCGGTCCCTTATCCCTAACTCATCCACACTGAAACATGGAATTTGAACTGTCCTGGTTTACACAAATTCCTAAAAGAAAAAACAAAGGTCAAATGGATCAGAAATTCAACCTAAACTCTGAGTCAACACACCCTTATTAAGCACCTACTGAAAACAGCTAGTCATGCCATGTAACTCATGTTTATAAAACAAGTTAAATATTGGATGAGAACATATTTCAAAAGAAATTGTTTGAAATCCCTTGAAACAAATTCAGATGCAGTGTACAACTGTCAACAAAGAGACCACCACCTCTATCTCATGTCTTACAAGAGTTAAAAAGAAAATACTGAGAGTTTTAACTGACTTGTAATGGAAAAAGATAAACAGGAACAAGGATTTTTTTAAAACTAATTAAAGAAAATTCTATTTCCCCCCTGAAATCTCAATACGAAAAACTGTTTCAACTATGCACTAGCCTTTCTCTTTTTAAGAAGATGACACAAAAGGAAACTACAATCTGGAGGAAAAATATTCAAAAAACTGCTGTGTCCCTCAACAATGTCAGCAAAAATGGTTTCAAGTAGCCTCTTCAGCATGACCTCAAATTGTGGTCTTTGGGAATTAATTCAAGGCACTAAAAGACAATCACTCTTTTGGGAAATATTCCATACACTCTCAGTCATATGCGTAGCCAGTGCTCCTCACCTTTGGGGATGCTTAATACGTGAGGAAGGCTGAGGATTAGAGCTCAGTGGGAGTTTGACCTATTCAGCCAAAAGGTCAGCTTTCCACTGAAGAACCCATTACAAAACAGAAACAGGACAGCTCAGTGGACACACATAATGAAAGGCAGAAAAGTCATGAGCCCTACATGCGTGTGTCCTGCACTGCCCTTTTCCTTTACAACCCTCCCTGCCTCCATTTCCTGAGCAGGTGGAGCTAACCCAATCACCCTCCAGACAACTCACAGTAGAAAGGTAGAACATGGGCAGCGAGAGAAAAGGGGGCTCCTTTTTCCAGGAGTCACTTGAAAACACTAATAAGTGAAGGAGGGTATGTAATTGTGAGATAGAGTTACCAGTGGATTGTTTTATTGGAGAAAAGCATCACAATCAGCTAGAAAAGACCATTTTAGGGTATTTGCCCCAATACTTTCAACACTCCCCCCCCCCAATACCCTCATAGCATGGAGCATCAAGCACCATGAGTTCAGGTTGCCTAAAGTTCTGTAGGTACTTCAAGAATAGAATTTTTTGCCAAGTGAAAAGTCAAACTTCAAGCCAGGATGCCCTTTCAACTGTGATCCTGCTGGCTTTCCTGCATCCAAGGAGAAAGCAGCGAAAGCAGCGGCTCCCACACTGAGTTTGGGGGAAAAGAGTACTGAAGGGTACGCTAAATGGAATCCCCAGGCTTTAGCAACTGGTTTAAGTGAAGGCAGGATCTGAGAAAGAATGGCACATAGAA